GTAAGTCAAAGATTCCACTATTGCTCATTTTTTGGACTAAACTGGGAAATAACGACAATTTTCGATAAATTGGCATATAATCGTAGTAAGCCGCGATATTTACAAAATCTTGAAAACGTTCCGAGGGATTACCTTACTTATATTAGGGAGGGGTATTACGACTATCAAACTCAACTGCCTTATGATTGGGAATAACTTGAAATTTCGAAAAAAATACATCTCTTCGTTCAACACCCTGTAGTATAATGCTATGTGCAAAATATCGTATTCCCAAAATTAGACATAAGAGTCAAAGAATCAGCTATTCAGAATTTCCAAAGATTTTCAAAATCGATTCAGTAATTTTTGAATAACGAGCTTTCAAATATTTTCCAAAAAACTAGGTGCGTCGATTTTTATGACGAGCAGTTTACTAACAAAGATAAGTTTTTTGTAGTGTTTTTAATAGTATATTATGTATCAAGTTTGATAAACGCCATTTTATACATGAATTTAATTTAGGCACAAGCGAGCTTGCGAGCGAGTACTTAAATTAATGAGTGTATAGAAAAGTTTATAAACGAGGTGCATACTATACTTTTTCTACGACAAATACTTATTATTATCTTAAAATGACGTATTGAGCGCCATCTATGAAACAATAGAGGAATCTGTGCGTAACCGTCAAATGTCACATTTTTATAAAAACAGATTATAAAGGATATAAATCGAAATGTATTTCTTGAAAATTGACAGTTTTTCACAGTGAAAGTAAAGAAAATGTTTTATGAGGACTTTACAGTGGAGTCCGTGCCCGAATTTATGTTATAGTTTACTACTATACAATGCTCATATAAACTATTCAAATATTGGCGTTGAGAAACTATTTAATACTTTTGAAGGTATTTTTGTATTGAGATAATAAAATAATTTTCACATTTAGTATTATTTTACAACTTATTTTAACGATTGTATGACATTTGACAACTGTCAACTAACTTAAAACTAACTTCAGCCCGTGACTAAAAATCTGTTCTAACTTCAGCCCGTGACTAAAGCGCCATAAAGCCACAACCACAACAATGTGTATTTAAAAGGTCACTTAGTGTTATGGAAACATGTACGATAAAGGGCGTTTTAAAGGTGGGAGTAGAAAAAATATTTTATATAAAAAATATAAAAACATTTTATTCTATTTTGTTTAGAAACCCCCATTTTAAAATAATTTTTAAAAGCCTAATGCTATTGATTTGTCGCTGTTGAATGAAGTGAATTTTTTCGGAACAAACACGTGTTGTTGACAGTTAAAGGAAAACATATTTTATACACCTGCACAATGAAGTCAATTAAAAGCATATATTAGTGCCGTACTTAAGACAGTATTACCATTTATAACATAACCTTTATATATAATGTTTTAGATTTAACGGGCTACGCGCTCATGCGGTTACATAGGCGTGCCAAAAATTTTAAAGACTTTATACTCAATTCATTCGACAGAAGACCATCGTTTGATGGGTTATATTCTACTATTATAAGGTTTTAAGAAGATAAAAGGATTGGAATAACAAATACTTCAGAATAAGGTTCGGGAGTTATTAAACAAACATTTTAAATACACGCCAATGTCCTTTATTTAAGGTAAATCAATGTTCTCGCAAATTATATCAAATTATATTAGAAATGCATAAAATTAACTTATTTTACTCAAAATTCCTTTCAATTGCAACAATTATTTAGAAATTGATTCAATAGGGTACTTCGAGCGAATTTAAGACAATGAAAATTTCACTTTTGAGAATGCTTTCGAGAAATCTGAACGTGACAGAGGCATCTTGGGTTTAATTATGTTTGCAGCCCCCGTAAAATATTACGCAAATTTGATACGGAACAGGGCCGTAACCATGTTTTTATCAATATGCAGGAAAACTTACAAAAATGGCGAATGCGCCGGGATTAATTGCCTTAAGAAATGTCATCAAAATTGCACAAATATTTCATGATGTTACATGACGTTTCGTCTCCCCAGTAGCAGATGCACTTAAATTTGACGGATGGGCTGTTACAAATCTAGAAAGTCGATTTTAACCTAATTTCATCCAACCGATTGAGCTGAAATTTTGTCACAAACTTTTGGTCCTGGTGACAATACAATGTAGGATACTTAATATTAATCTTCATTCAACATGGCCGCCGCTCCAGGTTGAGGTGACGTCACGTGCGAACCAGATTCAATGTTACAAACAGTTTTGCGCTATGCACGGGTGTTTTACTCCGATTTCTTTTGAGTTTTTTCCGAAATTATTGTGTGTTTTATTTAGTTTGTGTTATATTTGTTGGACTTAATAACCTGGCGTAGTCAGATTTAAATTTGGAAAGCTACTCTGTTCAAAATTTCATGACCATTTTAACACCAAATTAACACCATACATGGTCTATATCGATACAAACCAAAATGGTGTTAAATATGGTTCGTTGGTCCAGTGTAAATTCAAATACTAAAATAGTGTAAATTTAACTTTCACACAGTATTAAAATAAATTTTACCTGGTGTAAATTAAACTCTTTTTCAGTGTTAAATATTATGTATTTTTGGTCAAATTAAATCATACAGGAAGTTCCTTGATGCATTTCTAGTATATACCAGTGGTATTATTCCAGAAAATTGAACCTTCAACTCGCTAGAGATAATGTTTTTAGTGCGTTCCACCAACTTAAAGTACTTCAAGTATTGACAGCTGTTTCCACCTATTTAAGGTCTCTTTGGTATCGAACAACTTGTAGTGTCACATCAAAGCAAAGGACTACCTGAGCTTATATACTCTTCATGTAAGTCAACAGAGGCGAGATTTAAGAACATCACGTGATCCACACCGCCTTTGCCGCGATCGGTACACACTGTGCAACCAGGAATGCACGACAAATTGTTTTAATCGTTTTAACAGAGTGCTTTAGGTTAAAGTAACTCTTTACAAACAACATATTTAGTAAACTGAATTATACAGCGGGTTGGTTTCACTAAAGTTTTCTGGGTTAATTTAACCAATTTAAAAAAAATAAAATAACTATCTGGTTTGGTACCGTCAAACTAATCTTTGTTTATATTAACCTTCCCACAGTTGATTTAAATAAAAATACTTATGGGTCAACTAAATTAATATAGTAAAATGAACTATTCCTTTTTTTCTGTGTAGGTGCATTTCTTAAATATTTTTAGATAAACACCGTTTTGGTGTTTGCTGTATATAACATTTTCAACCATAATTCATGGTGTTTATATTAACACCATTTCCCTGATAGCAAAATTTGATTCTAAGAATCTTCTAATAAGATATGACCCGGAATAATGGAATATTCTTAGAACCTTCCCTTATTGCTAAGACTGTTCTTAGTTACTTTTAAAACATTCAATAGATACCCTTCTAATGATGCAATTAGATTCTTAGAAGCTTCTTAAAACCTTCCTAAAAAGCAATCTAAGAACATTTTAAGAATACGTTTTTGGAATGTTCTTAGAAGGTTTCTTATGGAGCTTCTAGGAAGCTTTTGAGAATATTTCCAAATATGTCAGATACCCACGTTTTAATATGTTGGATTCTACATTCGTAAAATTCTTCAGGAGGCGACAAATAGGCCTTACTTTCATAATATGACAGTGAAATGTATTTGTAGTCCCCTTAAAAAAATTTGCGACATATTAACATATATTTATTTAAAAATATTAAATAAACAATTTGACCTCCAAACCATAAGTTCTATGACATTATTTCATAAAAAGTAAAATTGGAAAATTTTGTGGGATAAGTCAGATTAGATTGAAGTTGAAGATAGTTAGGATTATTATACATAAAAAAGTTAATTCAGAAATAAAAAATCGGTAAACAAATTAATAAACATTTATTTTTAACATAAAATAAAATATAAAAAAACAAAATATTTCCTTATAAAATAATTCTTCATAAAAGAAAAAACCAAATAGTTCTTCATAAAAAAAACATTTTTCATTGTATTTAAGTTGGATAGAAGATTTTATGTAAAAGCCGGATAATTTATATACCTATAGTGAAAGTATTTTTGTTATCGAATATTGTTTTAATTTGACAAATAACTATAAAAAAATATTTTGGGTTGTGTTTTTTACTTAGTATTTAATACTAAGTATAGGTACCTTTATACGTAGATTATGGTATATTTTACTATTATATAGGTACTTACTACTATAAGTGAACTGAATATGCTTAACGGAATGTTCCAGGAATATTCCTAAATGAACTTTCTATAGCAATTACTTTCTCAACATTCTAAGCATATGTTTAGAGTGGATTAATTTTTACCACTAAACTTTGCACCTTCTAAAAACCTGCCTATAGGCCAGTGAGAATATTTTTAGGATTATGCAATATTTCTTTTAAGCATGTTCTTTAGAAGAAATATAGCATGATCCTAAGAATATTCTCACTGGAAGGTTTAAAAACATTCTTAGAACATGACTAGAAGAAATATAGCATGATCCTAAGAATATTCTCACTGGATGGTTTAAAAAACATTCTTAGAACATGACTAGAAGAAATATAGCATGATCCTAAGAATATTCCCACTGGAAGGTTTAAAAAACATTCTTAGAATAAACTGTGCTATCAGGGTTGGTGTTGGATTTTGACACCATTTTAAGATTACTCTTTACACCACAGATATTTTAAACAGTGTATACTCTAATATCAAAAATAGTCACACCGGGTTATGTCTGTCGGATATGGAGACTGGGGCATCATTGGGGTGTTGTTTTCGAGCAAGCAATCGGCTGTTAGTGGATTAATACGTTAGTTAAGAATAAAAAAGAAAGGGTTGATTTTTTGGGGTTAGAGTGCTGTGTAGCTCGAGAACGGTCTTAAAAGTTTTCATTTTAGTTGTGCGATTCGTCGCGGAGTTTCGTAGTCTCCCCGCGCGCGCTGTACACCTGAACACGATGACGGTCAGTTCAGTGCCCGTATTCCATTCGCGTTCAGTTCAGTACGGAGCGACGGCACGCGACGCCCGAGACGCCGATACGGCGATACGCGCGGAACACGTTGTTTCACGAACGCCGATGGCCTGCGATGTTTTGCAAAAAGTTTGGATTTTCCGTCTTTGCGTCGATCTCAAAACAGGACTTTAATCCGCATTATATTAATCTTTTTTCTGGTAAATATTGTTTTATATGTTTATAATATTAAAGCGGTAAAATCAAGAAGGCATGAAGCGACTTAATATAAAAAATTTTACGATCTTTTCATTGCCGTAATAAAATAATAATGCGGCAAACGCACATGATTCACTTCAAAATAATAAAAAATTTTATCTACCATAAGAGTTATAGTAATTCATTTAGTGTTTGTTAAAATTGTTTGCGGTTTTTAAAGACCTCGATAAAAACTCCAAGCTCATCAATATTAAATTATAAGAGGATTTAATAACTTAAGAGCAATTTAAAATACGAATCACTCAAACAGTAAACTAAAAGATGCCCTTTAATTAAAACTAGAGTTTCAGCTTCTGGGAATGATGTATAGGATCATTATGCCGTTAATTGAAGCTATTATATTTCAATGTGTTCCAATTAATTATTCATTAATTATATACTATACCAATTAGAAATTACTTTTAAACTGTTTGGTGACAAAGTAATTGGTTCAGATTTAGTTAAAATCGCTTAACAATTACCACTTGAGTTTACAATTTTCTTAATGAAACATCATCAAATAGTATATGACTTAGGGTTGTTCTTCAAAAATTTGACTCTACTTTTGTAGAAAATGATTTCTATAGCAAATTCTAATAAACCCCCAGATCTTTTGAAAGTAAGAATATCATAAATACTAGGCTGATTCAAAAAATCGAATATTTTAGTTCCTTATAAAAAAAAATATTTTATTATTAATCAATCATTTAAGCAAATCTTATACATATTTTTGTAGGAAATTGAATGCTCTACAAAAAATGACTAATGTGTAGGCGATTATTATAAACATTAAAAAGATATTCAAGATCAAAATTCAAAGAAGTTATAAAAAATTTTTTTTTTGATAATTTTGTAACTTATTGAAAAATAATTATTGTCAAATAAGTGTGACAAATTTTTATATAAAATTTAGCGCTCTATAAAAAGGTCTGATGTGTTTAAGTAATAGAGTAATCAATTAAACACATAGGACCTTTTTTTAGAGCGTTAAATATGTCAATAATTTCCTACAAAAATATGTGTAAAATTTTGATTAAACGATTGATTAATAATTTTGATGAGGAACTAAAGAAAACATGGAAAAATTTTGATTAAAATTAATTGCTTAAGTTTTGAACATTTTCTAGAGGTGCCTAAGAACTAAGTTTTCAGTGTCAAAAATAAAAAAAAAATTTTTGAATCACCCTAATAAATACCCTTGTAAAACATATACAAATCGAAAGCACACTAAAAAAATGATGCTGATGTAAACATCTTTTTAAAATTCAGTTTATTCTGCAGGTGAGAAAGGAAAAGGGTTGCGTAGATTTCACTATATATTCACTAAATTTCTAAGTTATTTAAATGCACCAGTCTTTTTTTGTCAGACAAAATGATTAGGGCCCTGTTTCTTACGCATATTTTGATTACTTCCTAATCCCTTAATCACAAACTGTAATGATATATGGCTTATAACACTCCTGAGAAATTTCCGCCTCCAAATCGTTTTGTAAACTTAATTAGTGTAGTAAACAATTCTTAAATTAATGGGAAAATATTTAATTTGTTGTCAGTATAAAATAAACATAAAAATAAATTATTTATTGTAAGGTTTTATTTTTTGACATAAATATCCACCATATTTCCTACAGGCCTATGGCGCGTAACAAAAATTTACGACTAAAAATATAAATTCTAATTAATTTTGTAATAAAATTTGTTTATTTAAAGCCGTTGTTTGGTAAATATTGCGTGCTGAATAGCAAGGCAATTAAGACACATTTCAATGTTCTCAACACACCTTTAAAGGAATACATAATTAGGTTCGACTCCCTTATCCTTAATCCTTAACCGGGGTGGTAACTTAGTTTCCCGATTGATTAAAAAATACCTGATTTATTTCAGACAAATGTAGACTAAATCAAGTTTTTATATCCTGAATACTTGTTTCTTAAAACTATGGAGATCATTTTCTATTTAAAACTAAAGTAAGTGCTGGTAGGTGGTATTTTAAAATACAAATTCCGTTTTTTGTTTTTTTGACAAAACGTATCGATTTTTAAAGCTTGTGTCTTTTTAACTTGAACAACAGCCCATCTACATACTACGGAATTCACTGAATAAAATATTCATTTTAGTTCTAAACCTGGTTGGATTAGTGGATAAAAATGTCATGTTTGTTTTTCTGATGTGTTAATCATGTATATTAGATTGAACTTAATAATAGTTATATTATATGTAAATATTTTGGTTTGCTGTGGTTAATATGTTCAATACTGCAATTAATATAAACCCATGTGTTAATATTTATATATATAATGTAAAACCGTTGCATATTGTGCAAGAAATCGAGCGCGAAATTCAATTTAACGCAACAAAATAAAGTTTAAATTTAGACATCGATATTTTCCAAAATTTTAAGGAAATTATTTATTATTCCAACGCTTTGAAATCCGAAAAAATACTATTCATTCATTCATTTAAACACACTGCCAAAGTTTCAATCAACTACACTTCTACCAAACCGAATTTATAAACTATTTATTATTAAATTTATTCGGATGAATTTTAAGTTAAGTAAGTCAAAATATCAATTCCTTGGAAAATAACCACTATCAAACCCAACTTATACTTTTTATACGAACTGGCATCTTAAATAAATTCAATAACACAAAATATTCAGTAATTTTACAGCTTGTTTGGTACCAATAATTTGAGGCTCTACAAAAATCAAGAATTCAGTAAAAAAAGAACGTACTCAGCGTTTCTTGAAATTTACTTTCCATGAAAAATGTATAGAAAGCAATAAACCAATTAGAGCACGGCATTCTTCCACAGCACACTAGGTGCGAGCTCTTTTGATTTCAAGTATTCTATATTAATTTATATAAAGAATTTGGATATTAATGCAAACTTTCATATTAAAATATATATTTTTCATAATTGGCTTTTTCGTACTTTACAGTAGCAAATACTTATTTTTAATTAAATGGCTTTCTTTGGCAACAAAACAATTTCCTTTTTGATCAAGTCTTTTGATAGGTTTCGCATTTTTTTTCAATAAATTTATTGAAACCTATTGCTTTGGCATTATTGACAAGAACATCAATGAATAAAATCATGATTTTTATTTATATGGAATTAAATAATTTTGTATCATTTCTTTGATAAAATATTTATTACCAGATCGATTAATTATTTCCAGTTGTTAAATTCACATATAAAATTTTGCTTAAACAAAGATATAATTATAGTGTTGGTTTATCCTGCTCTATAACAAAATTTGGTTTTGAAACACTTCAAAAATAACATTTTATTTATTTTCAAAATATTTATGTAAGCCAAAGTATGCATAATATGTTAAATATATTAACAAAATAAACTTATTTGATTTAGACGAATTTTGTTGATTTAGTTGGCTCATTGCAAATTATAACGATTTCGATAATTACCGCCAGTTAAAAACTAAGAACATAATTAAACCAGTGGTACGGATTAGTAAATAAATAAATTTTCACTTTATTATTGTTTCTACGTATACATGAAAAATCATTTTGTATGTGTGAGTAAAAAAGGGAATGTTTGTTTAAAACGAATAGTAGGCATATACAAATTCTATTATCTCATGTATAATTGATAATTTGCTATTTTTCCCACCCAAGGGACAGCTACTCAATGTTGAAATTAACACTGTAATTCGGAAAAATCGAATAAATTTTGAAACAAACATTTTATTCGGATAGTTAGGAATGGGCAAGCCGAAATAATAATTTTAAATTGTATAGCCGAATACTAAAGAAACAAAAAATGCCGACAAGATAAGCTAGTCGTATTGCCTTGGTCTACTCTATCATGAAAATAATGATTAATATTTCTAATGGACCATAGCATGTGGAAAAACAAATTGCATGGTGCACCTTTTTTAGCATCAACACAACCACTGGGGGTTTAATAGATAAAAAAACATTTTTCCAAAGCACGAACATTTAAAACGTTTATATTTTTAAATTCCGATACCTGGAAACCACGTAAATTTAATTTAGAGGAAAATAAAACAGAACAGCTATTTTGATCTTTGATATATTCATTTTTATAAACAGAACATAACATAAACTCTTACAGACTATTTCTCGCAAAAACTTGTTCATTGCGTGCATGATTAATGATTTTTTTTATTAATAAAAAAAATTATGAATGTCTTCAAAAAATGGCGAATGCGCCGGGATTACAATACAAATATTATACAAGGTGTCCCTAAACTTAGTGGCATAAATTTATGAGCAGATTAAGCAAGTCAAAATAAGACGAAAATCTAAATAAATATTTTTCCTAATTTGTTATGTTTAAAAGATACAGGGTGATAAAGTGTTACTTATCATATCAGTTTCTTTAATATAACTTCCACTATGGTAGACTTGGAAAGGAGATATTTTGCAAACAGTCACTTACTACCAAAACAAATATTCACACATAATTACAATTGTTCGAGTGAACGCAGTGTCGTAGAAACAGAGGTTGCTTAAGCTTATTGTCCCATACAAACTTTGAGGTTAGGTTTTTATACCATTTGATGCAATTTTTCGATTACTCAGTTCGGCTACTATTAAAAAGGTGTACCTCTCAAACTTCGATAAAATAAACCGTTTCCGAGATATTCGAGATTACAATAATTGTTATATCGCAATAAAGGACTAAAAGGTATATGATAACAAATTTTTTAATTGAAAAAACTACAATTTTTTTTAATGTGACGGTGAGGGCAAAAAGTCTCGAGGCTCATGGAATGCCCTTTTTAGTTTTTTCAATTAAAAAATAAAATTTGTTAGGTATCATATACCTTTTAAGGATTGAATAATGCGATATAACAATTATTGTAATCTCGAATATCTCGGAAAGGGTTTATTTTATCGAAGTTTGAGAGGCACACCTTTTTAATGGTAGAAGAACTGTGTAATCGAAATTTTTTATCAAATGTTATAAAAACCTAACCTCAAAGTTTGTATGGGACAATAAGCTTAAAGCAACCCCCGTTTCTACGACACTATGTTCACTCAAACAATTGTAATTATGTGTGAATATGTGTTTTGGTAGTAAGTGACTGTTCGCAAAATATCACGTTTCCAAGACTACCATAGTAGAAGTTATATTAAAAAAACTGTTATGATACTTTATCACCCTGTACCTTGGAAACATAACTAATTAGGAAAAATATTTATTTAGGTTGTCGTCTTATTTTAACTTGCTCAATCTTTTTCTAAATTTATGCCAATAAGTTTATTGACACCTTGTATATACAGGGTGTCCCAGAACTCTCGCCACAGAGAAAAAGGGGGCGTGCCGATAGCAATGGAGATGCCAAATTTAAAAATAAAAAATTTCTAGGTAATAGTGTAATCGAATGAGAGCAAAAAAGCGGCAGCCATTACCGAGAGCTCTCGCCTAGGTTAAACGTAAGAGCTTTAAAAATTGCTAGGAGACGATAGAACATTGTTGTATTAAAAACATTTAAAAATCTTTTGACCAACTGTATTTAATAAGTTGTCAAAAGCTTTCAAAAATGAGGTTATTAATTTATGACTTATACTTCAGAACGCCAATGTTTTAAAATAACGATTAGGAAAGGGCTGGGAAAAAACTCGCGTTGTCTCCCTGGCGTTGCGCCCACACTAAATAAATAAATAATTATCATTTCAGTATAATCATCTAAGGAAAACATTATTTATAATAACTTAATTTATAACCTATTATAATATTAATGACAGGAATTTGGCAGCAGTGTCACAATGAATTGGATTCCAGTGGACCAAATTCCCTATGGCCATCTATTGGGATTGGCTATCGTTTTTTATTCTTATCTCGCTTATCTTTTGCGTTAGACAATTTTAATTTTCAAATATGTGTTTCACGTTACTTTCGGCACGTTCCGGTTTTCTATGTGGCGCGAGTTCTGGGACACCCTGTATATATAAATATGTATTATAAATAATATTTTTTTTTATAAAAGCATTAAAATAAAAGTGGGGCAACATGCTACGTTATAAAGTAAATTGTTGCGTATTTTTTTATCAAGTTATAAATCTAATCAGATATTTTAATTTCCCCTGCTCTGGTTTTATTATGGGGTTATAGTAGTGATAAAATGTAAAAGTGCTGCATATTTTCTATTTAATATTTTTATATATGATAATGTTATTTAGATAGGAAACATAAAACTTTGTTATTTATTTACTGGATAAAATATGTCCGTATCGATACCTATGTAACAACACAATCTGAAAATTGGGAGGGGATCTGGGGGTTGTATTTTTGGAATGAAGGGAGGCCTCCAGTAGTCATCCAGATAAGTCCGCTTAGACATATAGAGATATATATGCCGCAATTTCTGCCCGGGTTACAATTTATCTGAATAGTGCTCTAAACGTATATTTAAAAAAAATACGGAAACCCACTTGACATTTAATTTGTAGAGAAAATCCTCGTGCAAAATTTAACAGGCTTTCAGCGCCAATCTAAAATGTGATTAATATAGTTTTGACATTTAGAATAATGCAAATTTCTTAGTTATGTTACGAACATACTAGTTAAATAATTCGCTTTAACGTTTTATATTTAGTAATAGTAAGTTGACAGCTGGAATTAAATACCATGCAACGTGTGAACATTTGATTTCAAAGCAATTAATTTTTAAAATAAATATATTTTAATGTTTAATGTTGTACTTGTATGTGTACTTTCTTTAGATACGAAAAATAAGAAAACCTACAAGACACTGAAACTTTTTTCATTTATCTCTAGTTTTTACTTAAAGAAGGTCAACTTTGGTGATATATTAAACAAATATTGGTGTTGGAGAATATTTATAATATTTGTTTAAATCTAGTTTTCGCAAAAATGCACCAAAACCATTATTGCGCAGCATTTTAGTCGATATTTGAATGGTACTGCGCAGTAAGACCTTGTAAGCGCGTATAATCGGGAAATACGGTCTGCGCAGCATTTGAGTGTATGTTTTGTGCGGTAGTGCGCAGTAGGATTAAAATGGGGCATTTTTTTTTAGTTTGACGCTGCGAGAGAAGCGCGGCCGTCTGAATCAGCCCCGGATGAGTCTCCTTGGTAGGCCGCTCAACTATAGAGCCTCCCGTCGAGATGCCAGGTACCGTCGTTTACAGAGCCGCATCTACAATTTCCTGGAGAGGCCGAGAGGGTTCGCAATATTGTACCATATGATAGTGTAAGTAGTTAACAAACCTTCTCCTAATCTACGACATTTTGTTTGTAATAATTTAATATAAGCGATCTGCTGGTGATCCTTTAAGATTATCCTTTGATTCTGATTGTCGATAAAACAATCCGGATATAAATGTTTGTTTGTTGTTGAATTTTATTTAAAAGTGGATGTATTTATAGTGATTTTATGAAGTCGTATATCAATCCAATGTCTTTTCCCTAAACCGATATTTCTTCCGGAGTTTTTCGATATATAATCTGGTTGGCAAATTAAACTGTAAAAAATTGTTTTTGTGTAGCGAAATTGATATCTACTCGCGTATTTAAACCACTGCGCTATTTTTATAAATTTGATTGATTGGTAGTAATTTGACGATACACATGTGCTGTTATTATTGATTTAAATGAGTCATTGGTGTAAAACTTTTGACTTAAACGAGGAAACTATTATTTTAGTTTTTCACTTTATTGATTTGTTTTTAGGAAGGGAGTCTGCATAGAGAAAGGAAAATGTATTATGACAGCAAAACTTTTTAAATTTAAATTTTATCATAACTGTTTAGACGTATATTTCTTGAAGAAATTCTTAAGCCATGTCAGCAATGAAAACAAAAGAATCTGTTATCGCAGTCGGGCGACTTTTTATCTGAGTGATTATAATATTTTAATTATTGAAAATATGCGTAGGGATTATCTTTTAGACAGGATTTTAATTGTATTTATGTTTACAAGTCAAATTTTAAATGCGGTTGTTTTGATTCAGGTCAAGTTGAGTGCCGTATTTTATTTCTAAAAATAAATTCAATACTCTGGTTTGTCTGACAAGATTTCAAACAGACCATAAGTCATCTTAATTAACTTTTAATTGCACCATCTAATTAGAATAACAGCCGAAGCCCAAAATAAAACAATCTCTAATATGCGAAAGATGAATAATAGGTATCGTTTACTATGGCAGAAATTCAGCGTGGAATTGCTTTGCAAAATAAAAAAAATCCAATCATAACAAGTGCGATTTTTTCGGCTGCAGCCTAATTTTCCAGTTAAATCCGCGAAACGATAAATATGAATTATTTAGAGGGAGCACGCATTTTGTATGCAAACTTCAAATTGCACAATCCTAATAAATATATTATTTGCTTATTTGTTTCCCTGTCAAGAATTAAATTTCTCCCTCGGGCATACAATTTTCCGAAAGACTTATTAAAAAATCAGCTCCTGCCTCATTGAAATGACCATGCATCAAAACAACAACTTTGCAAGGGATTATTTTTATCTTTTTCCTCTCCACTACACCCAAACTTTATTGTTCCCAACTTGTTTTAAATAATTTAGCTAGAAGAACAAGCATAAAAAATACACATCAAAGAAAAAATTATAATAATATATACTTTTCTATGAGTTTTTTGTTTTTGAAACAAAGTGAATTAAAAATTGTTAATTTATAATTTGTTTTTTGAGTGCTTTTTCTTTCTACAACGAAAGTTGTATAAAAGGTGCGCTGAATATGTTCTTTTAATTGCTTTTTTTAATTAGAGAAAAATGCGGCTCTTATTAAATTATTCAGCGTCAAGTCCTCTCGAAAATTTCACCTAGCAAACATAAATATGTCGGTATTGGAATTATATATGCGAAATCACGAACTCCAGATAAAAATTAATTAACTAACCAAAAGGGGGATTTTTGATTGTGAAACAAGATACTTTCACACAACGCAGCATTATATTGTTAGCCAAAATACGTAACACGATACGTCTGACGATACAGACTTACCCGTATAACACAAGCCCTCTTTTTTCCCCGACAAAATAATATTGCCACAGGGCAAAATATTGTCGCATAATGCGCATAATACTGATTGACATTGTGCATAATATTATATGGCGCGTAATGTCAAGATTACCCAATAAACATTTTTGTTTTTATAGTGGTTTCCATAAGTGTTATATCATTATAAATCCTAAATTTCTTAATTTGGTTACAGAAATATTTATATCACTCTTATATACCCCTTAAAGAGCTTATTTGAGAAGTTTATGAGGGTTATTGGTACCTATTTTAGTAACACTATAAAACACAAGTTTTATAACTAGAGATAACAGGAATATTATGGAAACCACTATATAACTTCCTTAACAACTCTTTTAATATTTCCCTTTCCCTCTGGCACATTTAAAATATATGTATATATTTCTTCATAGGTACGCTATCTTTCTTATTGTCATATTATTCATTAACTTGTTTGTTTTATACTATTTAAAAATATATGAAAATATATTTTTTAATACATTAATTACATTAAAGTGTGAATTTTCTACCTTGGTTTCGTCAATTAAGTTGTTTTTGTAAAACAATCATGGCGAAAGAATGAGCCCTCTTATATTGCTCATGGTACTTTTATATAACCTAAGGTACTAGTTCAGTTTTATAGGACTATCTAAGTTACTTAAAGTGTTATTATATAATTTTGAAACTCTTTTATATATTGTAGTAACTGTTGTTACTACAAGTGATGTTATAAAACTTTTGATAGGCAACCATCTAACCGCTCAGGTTAGTGTTTCAGGTTCACCATTTTTGCCTGCAGTAATAATGGTTTTATTCTATGCTAAATATTTTATTTTCAACCAATTTCGAAAGCTAATAATATGCCTAATTTCTGTTTCACTTACTAAACATTTTTGGCTTATTAAGGACATAAATAATTAATAACTCACAATTTTTATTTACCGCAAACTTTATAAAACTCCTTTATAAACCTACTGGTAACGGTTACTTAAGGTTATATAAAATGTTTGTAAAAACAATTATATAACCTAATTACATACCTAGAGTTTACAATAACCTTATGTGACCATTATAAAACTAGTAAACTATATGGCGATTTTATAAAACCTTGTTAAACTCTTATATAATTTGACAACTCTTATATAACCTTTATATAATTTATAGTTACTATAAGCAGTACAAATTGTTTATTGGGTACCCACCCTTTCGACACATTATTTCTGCGCATCATATTATATGTTGCGCATAATTTAAAATTTGTTTCAGATTTCTTATAGTCCTGACATGTTTGACTTTAAGCGTTTTTTCGACGATATCAGAATATGAAACTACAGCGGGAAATATATTAACTTTTACTGAATCCTTTGTGTTAGTATGGTTTGGAGTGGAGTTTGGCTTTCGGTAAGTTGCCGCGACCAAATGAGTTTTGAGGCCTGATTTGTTGTATCTCATTTCAGCGTCTGGTCATCAGGATGTCGTTCGCGATATCAGGGCTACCTGGGCCGCCTTAAGTTCCTGAAAAGTCCTTTTTGCATAATAGGTAAGTGGATGTTTTTAAATAATATTCGGTTGAGTAATATCAGTATACTTTATCTGGGAACTAATATTATCTTAACTCAACCGTAAATAAATCAAAATTTAATAACGTAGTACTTTTAAATCATGCTATATAAATCTAACAGGAATTATATAAAGGCAGTACGAAAACACAGTATTGATTTTAGTACAGTAGTCAAATGTGACAACTTTGTTTTCGACATAAAACTCGAGTCTTTATCTGCACCCAGGTTTAATTGAAGCTAGTTAAGATATACAAGGATTTTCTAAAAATAAATAGGATAAAATTTATATAACTGAATATGATTCATTTAGATCGATTTATTTTTATGGTATACAGGGTACACCAAGTATTCTTTTTGACACCTTCATAATTTAAAAATGGCGAATGCGCCGGTACTTGTTATAAGCTGATATTGATTTCTCTAAGATAGTTAACAAGAAGATATGAAACAAGAATTAAACTGAATCTAAATTGTGTTTACCTGACCTGACCCGAATTGCATGTTGAAAAATAAATAACGAGACGAAAAAATGGATTAAAATTTATGTACATATACTTCTTTGCAAATGTAAAGTTTTCATGACATTTGATATAACTACAAAGTATAACAGAATAACTTTGTGTTGTACTAAACAAGAAAATTTGCATATTTCTCATTTAAAAAGTTTTAATGTAAATGGATTGACACATAAAGATACCACAAAAATGATTTTTTGAAAAATTATTAGAAAACATCCTTTTGACATTTGTTGCTGTTGATTATTAAAATTTTGTATTGTTTGAAAGAATCGAAATGAAACTTTGCTGAACAATAAAAGCATTGTAAAAAGTCGTTTGTTTATTAAATATACATAAAAACTGTTGTTTTAATAGGTAAAAAAATACATATCAAAAAAAAGTAATTAGAATTTGTCATTTATAATTTTACTGTAAGCCTATAGGCTTTACAAATTTGTTTGTATTCCACATTATATATTAAATTACTTACACTTTAACCACCCAATTGTCATGTACGAGTATGTTTAGCCATTATTTTTAATTTGGCTTTTTAAATTTGAAATTGGAGTGAAACTTGTTTAAACAGTTCACCTCAATTTCCAAAAACAAATTACAAAATTAAACCTCATTTTAATAATTCCCAAGTGACCTTTAAGAAAGTGTTTAGGGAAAATCTAGTTATCCACGAAATTTTATTTTAACAGGGTAATTTATATCAATATTGTAATTTACATGCAAACCTCGTTATGCTATTATATGCGTATTATATTAGGCTTTACCATTCAAAAATATTTTTTAAATGTAAATGTAAAAAGTTTTAATGCTAGCTATAAAAATTCGAACAAAAAAGACTAAAGCCCTTCAATAGTTTTTTAATTAAATTTGTATTAAATACACAGTAATTTAGAAAAAAACTTTGAGGCGGATTTTACAGAAAAATGATTTAAAATTTGACGTTAAAAGAAAAATTGGAAGTATTAAAAAATAATCCAATCAATAATATCACTTTTTAAAAATTTCGTGAAAAGTTTTATTTGCTAGTATAAGCTATTTAATAATAAAACCCTCATTGGGTTTGTTAAAGTTAGTTTCTTCTAAATTGACACACTTTAATTTTTTTTACTAATTGTTTCTTTTGGAAAAGCAGTTGATTTTTCTCGTTCCGCCTGTGTATTACTTGCGTTATTAAACGTCAATATTTTTTTAATTAGCTTAATTAAGCTATTTTTATTATTAGCTTAATTAAGCTATTATTATTATATCTACTAGAAATATAATTATTTTATGGTTTTATTCAGTGTTGCCAAATTCATGAACTTGGTATTAAAAAACCCTACACTGAAAAAAATAATCTCTTAAAAGAAATGAAAATCACTTTGATTCAAAAGATGTGCGCTTTTAAATAGGGCCAAGAGCTATGTTTCTTAAACTAAATCAGAAACTATCTTTACATATTTTTTTTATTTAATTACTTAAGGGGAGAGATTAATCCATTTGTTTAAGGATATTACAATATTAGCTTAAATCAAGAGCAAGCGATTTCTTGGTACAAAAAACAGATATTTCTCTTTTGAATGAAGAAAACGTTTTTTAGCGCAAAAACAATGGGATTTTAACAAGAAAACTGCATCTCTTACTTAAAAAGCTTAGTAAACTTTCTAAGAAAGAAAATTTGTCTTGCTACAATATACTATTGACCTAACCACATTTTCTTTTGATTTTAGAGCATATATCTCTTGGTCCAATAGTATGTATTGCTTTATTCAAAAGCTTTTGATTTTCCCTGAAACTACCAGCGTTGTTAGTATTTAATTTTAAATTCCCCTCACCACATAGGCATTTTGATTTTAATTATTGAAACATGCATTTAACAATTAAAATCAAGGACCTTCGTAGTGAGGGGAGTTCAAGCTTAAATATTGGCATCCTTGAAAACTAAAAGATTTACTGAAAAAAAGGTTTACAAAAAAAATATTTAAATAAAATAATACATTTATTGTTTTGTACTAATAAAGTAAAATAAATATGATTTACGCGTTTTGCATCCCCTCCCATGTATCAGAAGCAGGGACCCGGACCGAAACCGAAAAAAAACGAAAACCGGAACGGAACCGGTTTTTTTTTCCGAACCGAAACCCGAACCGGAACCGTTTTCGCTTTTGATAAAATCTGTTGGACCGGAACCGAAACCTTTATTTGCTTTCATTCTAATAACATTATATAACATATTAGGTTATAGATTAAAATTACGTAAAACAAATAACCTCACTGGAACCGCTTAAAACCGAAAAGAACCGAACCGTTATAACTCCACGAAACCGAAACCGGAATCGGAACCATTAAAACGAAAATAGGGTGAACCAAAACCGTACCGGAACCGATATTTCATTTCGGTCCGGGTCCCTGATCAGAAGCTACCAGATTTTGTTGTAAAATTGACGTGCTATTGGGATAATTGTGATGTATCTTGAATGAATTTCGTAAATATAAATAATTTTCATAGCTTTTGAACAAAAACACTTTGCACTTGGTTGAAAGAAGAAATATTGTATTTGTTTTCAAGAGAACTATACTTCTTCCACTAAGAACTTTTTTCTTCGAGCAATATACACTCTTTTATGCTAAAATATTGTTTATTGCCGCTAATATTTTTTTTTCAAGAGGGTTGACTACTTTAGTTTAAGGGCACCTTTTTTCAGTGTAGAGTTAGTTTTAACAATAATTGTACAAAAGAGTATAAATAAAAATATTTTTATTTAAATTACTAAAGCAATCAAACAAACAGTGTATAAATTAAATATGTTATAAAAATAAAATATAAAATAAAATTAATGTTTTAAAAATTCCGACAACCGTAAAAAAAACTAAGTTGGCAACACTGTGTATTCTAGTATAGGTATGGCCGTCTTACACTTTAAACCCCATGTCTGCCAATTTTTTTTAAATATGACGTAAATATTAAGTGGTAGGCTAAAGAAAAAGTAAAAAATGCAATTTTATAAACCCTTAAAGTAAATATTATTAAACATTATTATTATTATCATTATATTAAACATCAACTATTTAATAAAAAAAAAAACAATTTATTTGGACTCCAAAATAAATGAAAATAGTACCAAAACAAATATTTTCTTCTTAAATCATTGATGAAGATATCTACAAAAATGACTTTCCTGATTGAATTAATGCGCGCTATTTTAGATTGCTTAAAACATGGTTGAAATATAGGATATTCGTGATGTGTTCTAGCGTGTGGCATACTAATTAAATAAACCCCCTTTTATTTGATTAAATTAGAATTTTTTAACCGCCATTTTTAGATATTATAACAATACTGGCCTCAATCATTACAATGATCTATATGGCTCTATACGGAACTCAAACCTTACCGGGTACAGCACTCAGAGCTCTAAGATTCTTTCAAATCCTGAGGATGGTGAGGATGGACAGAAGGGGCGGGACATGGAAATTACTTGGATCTGTTGTGTATGCTCATCGACAGGTAAGTACTATAATTTATTTTTTCTACTCCCACCTTTAAAACGCCCTTTATCGTACATATTTCCATGACACTAATTGACCTTTTAAATACACATTGACAAGTAGTGGCTTTATGGCGCTTTAGTCACGGGCTGAAGTTAGCAACAGGTTTTTAGTCACGGGCTGAAGTTAGTTTTAAGTTAGTTGTCAAATGTCATACAATCATTAAAATAAATTGCCTTTCTTGTAAAATAATACTAAATGTGAAAATTATTTTATTATCTCAATACAAAAATACAAAAGTATTAAATAGTTCCTCATTGCCAATATTTGAAAAGTTTATATGAACATTGTACTAAGCTTTAAATTTCCCCGGCAGTAAACTATAACTCCACTGTAAAGTCCTCCTAAAACATTTTCTTTACTTTCACTGTGAAAAACTGTCAATTTTCAAGAAATACATTTCGATTTATAACCTTTATAATTGTGTTTATAAAATGTAAAAATTTGACATTTGATTCATAGATGGCTCTCTATACAAATTTTTGATTTAAATCATTTTAAGATAATAATAAGTATTTGTCGTAGAAAAAGTATAGTATGCACCTCGTTTATAAACTTTTCTACACACTCATTAATTTAAGCACTCGCTCGCAAGCTCGCTCGTGCCTAAATTAAATTCGTGTATAAAATGGCGTTTATTAAACTTGATACATAATATACTATTCTACTTATTGAATACAATTTTAATGTAAATAAAGTACAATGTGCAATATACATTTTTAAAATACATAAAATATTTAATGTTTGGGTTAAACAAAAACATGTCAATATTTACCAACGATAAATGTATATCCGCAAGATATTGAATTGTTTATTCAACGATAATTATATGTAAAGAAGCGTTAATGATTTTAATACTAAAAAAATATACATTAATCTAAAATTTTGGTGGCAGCTATTTTGTTCAAATATTTTAAATGCGAAAATTTGGAAGTGACAGTATTTTTTTTCCAATGCTACCTAAAATTTTGGAGGTATTGAATTTTGAGTTGTATTTCTATCTTCAAATGTTTTTAAGATAATTAATTTTCTTTTAAATTTTTGAGAGATACAGTGAAAAACTAAAATTTTTTTTTTACCAAATTTTATTTTATGTTTTAATGTGCTTCCAACATGCACGGGCCCAACATTACAACTATTGGTAATACAGACATTTTAGTTAGCCAGTCCATCTGTATTTTTTTTAAATATCTCAAAAACAATTAAATATAGGAATTCAATTTAGAATGCAATAATATTTATTTTACTTGAAAAAAAAAACAAGTTCTCTATAAACTTCTTATGATTCACCCTGTATATACTTAGTTGATTAAAAATTGTATTGTTGTTTACCACAATTATTAAGCCAAAATGAATGTTTTTTGGCTATTTCATTAATTTCAATAGCAGAATTTGATTTAAAAGAAACAAAAGAAGTTAATTTATAAAATGCTTTCATTTATCGACTTTTCAACTTTACAATTATTGGTAATAAATGCCATAATATTTATTATTCTCTATAAACCTCTTATCATGAGAGTCTTATAAATCACCCTGTATATAGTTAATTAAAAATTGTATAAAAAAATGTGAAGGTTGTTTACCACAATTTTTAAGCCAAAAGGAATGTTTTTTGTCTTTTTAATTAATTGAATATTAAAAATTTCAATAGCAGAATTCGATTTGAAAGAAACAAAAGAAATGCTTCTATTAATGGGTAAATTGCCAGAAAAATAATATTTCATAGGATTAGGATTCGATTGAAATACATAAATTAATTGGCGATATCGGGGCATTCGCCATTTTTGCAAATAAATATCATTTATAATTAAATAAAAGTATATGTACCAAGAAGACTAAAGAGAGGAGGAGTAACTTCCTCTCTTATTAAGTCTTAATTTAGAACACAATAATAAATATATTGTATTATTTAAAAAAAATAAAACGAAATTAGCGGTGAACTGACAGATAGATAACCTCAATTATTTGCATTCAAATGTAATGTGAAGTATATAAACTAATTGGCGAATTCGCCATTTTGAAAATAATTGAAATGGCAAAGGGGCTTAACGATGTTACATTTTAATCCAGCTATTTTATTTATATTAAAAGTAAAATCCCCAATTTTAGATCTCGGATAAGTTTCATAAATACTTTTCGCAAAATCCTTTTTAACGACCTAATCCAGCTATTCGTTATGTTAACAAAGAATCATTTACATGTTTTAATGAACAACCTCAATCTGTAGCTTATTGTATCTGCCCTTGTACATTTTGATTGTTTGTTTCAGGAATTAATAACAACTTTGTACATAGGGTTTTTGGGCTTGATTTTTGCTTCCTTCTTGGTGTTTTTGGCGGAAAAAGACGTGAACAAAAAGTTCTCGAATTTCGCTCAAGCGCTGTGGTGGGGAGTGGTGAGCAAACCTCGATCGGCCTTGTTTCAATTGAATTAATTACGCTTTATTTGTCTCAGATTACTTTGTGCACTGTTGGATATGGAGACATGGTGCCAGAGACTTGGCCTGGAAAGATAATAGCTTCGTTCTGCGCCCTTTTAGGAATCTCCTTTTTCGCACTACCTGCGGTAAGAGAAACATGTTTGTTTATTTTGATATTTTTATTTAGGACCAAAAAATTACGGGTTACTTTGCTCCATTATTATAAAAGATAAACAAGGAAACCTTTTTTTCTCGACACTAATTAAAAGTAATATTTTTTTTTAAACAAGAGCACATCAGAATCCTTGTTTTGCTGGAATTCATTAATAATATCATCTTTAGAAAGGTTTACCCTTGTGTAAACTTTTTAATTATTTTATAAGCGAAATGGTTTAGGAATTATTGGATGTATTTTCTAAACATTTCTGCTTAATTGAAATTTCAATTGCGTTTCCCCGGATATATTGAAAAAATACCTAGGTTTGTCATGATAAAAATTTAAAATTCGCTTTTATCGGTAAAGTCACAATTGTTCAGATTACGAAATACCAGTACGTATTTTTGTAGGGTATTTTGGGTTCTGGGTTTGCTTTAAAAGTACAACAGCAACAAAGGCAAAAGCATATGATACGCAGAAGACAGCCAGCTGCAATGTTGATACAGTCCCTTTGGAGATGTTATGCAGCTGATGAACAGTCAATGTCTATAGCAACATGGAAGATTCATCAAATACCACAACCAAGCCCTCCATCGTAAGTTTAGTATTAATAATAATTAAAGGGTAATTTTCACAAAAACCTTCAATTTTGGAAATTCTTATACAACAAAATCCTTATGAATGAAATCCTAATTTGCTAAACAATATATTTTAACCACTACCTTAGGGTGTGTATCTACGTAATAAAGCGTGTTCGAGATACGTAAACGCCAAAATGCAGGTTTTCGTGTAAATGACCCAGATATAATGATCAAAATCTGCTTTGCGATTGTAAGATAAACTTTTAGTCGAATGTAATAAAAACTTCTAGCTATCCACTCCAAAAACATCTATATTTCAATTTTAACTAATTGATTTTAAAATACGCGCTGAAGTAAAGTTAATCTGATACTTGGAAAAGGTATGTTAAACAAATATTAAAGATATTCTCCAACACCAAAACAAAACACAATCTTCAGAAGCTTCTGTTGGGGAATATTTCTTAAATTTGTTAAAAGTAATCTGTCAAATTTTAGCGATAACTATCGTCATAACTTTGAAATATAGATATACTTTATAAACTGCCGAATGCTGTACAAAATATAAATAAAAAATAGAAGTATTCTGTCTACTCTTTTCCACAAAGAAACACCTTTATTATTTGGCTGCGTTAATTCAAATAATGGTGTTTCTCGAAACTCTCACTTTATGTTTTTCCTATTGCACGTTAACAGATCTAAATTGACCGAAGTTGATAAGATGGCCGAGAAGATACAAAGTATTTCCTCTGTGGTGTAAGTCATTGTAAAAACAAACGCATGCTCACAATTGTAAATACACACTGTATTTTCACGCTTAGAGTATACAGTGTAAGAGAGTGGGGATATTTTGCAGCGACTTGATCTAAATTTTGTGGCAACGTTGCACTTTGGATGGTTTTACATTTTTTATGAAATGTAAGGGATTTGTCTTAAATAAAACTAATTTTTTTCCTCTTATATTTTTTTATTTAAGTAATTAATGTGCTTAAACATGTTCGATGCTTTATATAACCTATTATTAAGGTTTTTAAGCAGCGCGCGCAGAACTGTGCTCAATGCTGTCGCCATGCCGAATTCCTCCCCCTTTTAAAAACGAAATGCTGTATACACCAAAAATGAAAATACGGTATAGCAAATCCCTTTGATGCTTATAATAATTGCATGAAGCTTTATTTTTGAAATGCAATATCATTTGATAATAAATTCTATGCATGAATATTTTGTGACTGGGTTATTATTGCACAATAAACTATTAATTAATTTTGTAATTCGGCTTTTGCTTCCAGGAAATTTAAATTGTACAGAATGTTGTTATTATAAAATTTTATATAATAGTCCTATTAAAATATATTTAAATGTACATAAAGCTGCAAAAAATGCTTATAATTCATAGTTTCATAAATAAAATTTGCGACGTAACTTTCTATACAAAATTATCCATATGCTACATCAAATTAGTTGCAACGAAGAATGCCATACTTTAATTGGTTTATTGCTTTATATACAGATCATTTTCTGTAGAAAGTTATATCGCAATTTTCTAGAAACATGATGAACAATACTTCAGCCCTGATAGCACACTTTATTCTAAGAATGTTTTTTTAAACCTTTCAGTTAAAATATTCTTAGGATCATGCTATATTTCTTCTAAAGAACATGATTAAAAGAAATATAGCATGATCCTAAGAATATTCTTACTGGCTTATCGGCAAGTTCTTAGAAGGTGCAAAGTTTTAGTGGTAAAAATTAGTCTACTCTAAACATATGCTTAGAATGTTAAGAAAGTAATTGCTATAGAAAGTTCATTTAGGAGTATTTCTGTTAAGCATATTTAGTTCAGTTACCTATATAATAGTAAAATATACCATAAACTACGTATAAAGGTATACTTATACCCATACTTAAGTACCTAATTAGTAATTAGTATTAAATACTAAGTAAAAAACACAATCCAAAATATTTTTTTATAGTTATTTGTTAAATTAAAACAATATTCGATGACAAAAATACTTTTACTATAGGTATTTTATTTTATGTTAAAAATAAATATTTATTAATTTGTATACCGATTTTTTATTTCTGAATTAACGTTTTTATGTATAATAATCCTATCTATCTTCAACTTCAATCTAATCTGACTTATCCGACAAAATTTTCCAATTTTACTTTTTATGAAATAATTTTATACAACTTATGGTTTAGAGGTCAAATTGTTTATTTAATATTTTTAAATAAATATATTAATAGGTCGCAAATTTTTTTAATGGGACGACAAATACATTTCACTGTTATATTATGACAGTAAGGCGTATTTGTCGTCTCCTGAAGAATTTTACGAATGTAGAATACAACATATTAGAACGTGGGTATCTGACATATTTGGGAAAATTCTCAAAAGCTTCCTAGAAGCTCCATAAGAAACCTTCTAAGAACATTCCAAAAACGTATTCTTAAAATGTTCTTGGGATGCTTTTTAAGAAGGTTTTAAAAGGGTATCTATTGAATGTTTTAAAAGTCCCTAAGAAAATTTTTAGCAATAAGGGAAGCTTCTAAGAATATTCCATTATTCCGGGTCATATCTTCTTAGAAGATTCTTAAAATCAAATTTTGCTATCAGGGAGAACTTTGTCTTTTTTCTTACATTAGTTCATTAAACATGTTCTAATCTATATTTTTTTAAAGCTACCTCAAAGACAAATTTAAAGATATATTAATAATGCAGTTAAGTTATTATCAATGTTTATACATTTGTTCCCCATATATATAATCAATCAAAAGTTAATAAGAGATTCGTCCCGGCGCATTCGCCATTTTTGCATATTCGTATTTTTACAGTTTTTCATTATTTAAAATATATTTTTGTAATGCATGCTTTATTAATTGACAGCCTGAATTTAAAAAAATAACAACAATTTGTCTAGTTATAAAATAATGCATGTTTTTATAAATTGTACGATTAGATTTTTATACTGACGACTTTAATTAACTAAAAAGTCAGCAATTTGATAATAATGTAGTTAATTTTAAAAGTACTATTATAACTAAATAAATAACCATTAAAAAAAAAGTCCCGATTACGTCAGAGATTCTACAAAAATGACGGGAAATAGTAAAATTGTACATCAAAATGGCGTAATTGAAATAAATATAACTTTATATATTGAATATATTAACAATTAGAGATGCGACTGGAAAAAAAAACGGTCCGTTTTTTTGTTTTTTTTTCAGGTTTTTTTTCATTGTTTTTTTTAAATGGTTTTTTTCACATTTTAGGTTTTTTTTCAAGATTAGTCCCATTTGCCTAATTTTTTAGGATTCATGGACTAAAATTAGCCACTAAATGACAATTAGTAAATGTAAATACAGTCTCCCGCTATGCACGCGCCACCACCACCGAATTGACCAATAAGGGCCGCGCTTGTTTTGATTTGGTCCTAAAAAAAGTAACTACATATAATATTTTTGATTCAGTGCTTGATTTTTCAAAAAGGTACCAAAAGCAGTTTTTTCATGATTTTTTAAATTCATGTAGAGTATGAAATTTTTTTTTCAAAAAAATAATAGCAAATTCTTGTAGGTCATTTATTCATTGGTGGTTAAGTCAGAGCATTCCGTGGACCAGAAAGCCAAAAAAATCGATTTTTTTTATTACGGTATTTGTTAGGATTGAGCACATTTTTCATCTAAAAATCTCAAAACTAGAAACTTCAAGCTTCAAATTGCTTTTTTTACGGCTCCAATACGACTATTTTTAACAAAGATACAGCTATCCGAAGAATCGCAAAACTATTTTTTTATCCTTTAATTTTTTGTTAAAGTTTTACATTGCTACTGGTTTCTAATGTGGAAACTACCAAATAAGAAATCAGATTTTTTAGTCCCGGTCAAAATTTTCAATAATGAAAAGTTTAATATATTCTACATTTCACTTTATTATTAATATATATTTTACTCAAAATTTCATTTTGAAAAAAAACAAAAAAATCCTTTTTTTTTCTAGTTTTTTTTTCATGTTTTTTTCACATCTGAAAAAAAAAACGTTTTTTTACATCTCTATTAACAATAAGTTAGGTTAATTTCCAATACTTAGTCCTAATTTTCATTTCAACGTCAAAAATCGCTCATTTAATAAATATTTACTCAACTAACAAAAGTTTGTCAAAATAAGTACTTTGAAACAGAACAGTGGTTTTTTAATTCAAAATTAGGGTTATTGTTTGGACATCCCTGTTTAGACCTAATGTGTGTGTTTTTATGCAATTTTAGGCGCGTTTCGAGTAGTTTTAAGCATAACGCGTCGTTTGTGAGCCGTCTGCCGACCATCCGAAGACACAAAAGCACTTCGCTACATTCCCCTTCCACCCACAAAAATGCTACGCAAAGAAGCGGAAGAAGTTTAGTGGATATAAACGCGTCTGAAGAAAATTTGGGTAACTTAATTTTTTTATTTTTTTTTACACACGATTTTTTATATCGCTTATATCAGCAAACTTTATTATATTTTGTTTTGTTGTTAAAATTAGATTGATTTTCTATTATTGATGGATGTAATTGACAGATGGATTGCCCCAACACGTGTAGAACAAATCTAGAGAATAAATAAACTTATATTTTATAGCTTAGTTTTAGATGAAATTAAGTTTAATTACAACATTATTGTAAGCCGAGTTTAATATTTTAAATCGCCCAGGAATGTTAAAAAGTTTGATGATATTGGGGTGAGTTTTGGGCACTTTTTGATTAAAGCTTTTGCACTATTTGCTTCCAGCACGATATTACGAAACACATTTAAAAAGTGAGTTTTAAAACTAAAAATTCCTTTGATCTTTGCTAATAAGCTAAAATATTGATTGACTTTTATACACAACTTTGTACCTATAAAGGCAGCTGTTAATTAAAATTTGAAGCATTACCAAAGCATAATAAAGTTTCGGTCATCATTTGATAGATAAGCCGGGCCTAAAAATGTATCCTTATAAATTAGGGGCAGGATCTTCTAGCACTGCAAACGGTAATAGAAATCTTAATGCAAGTCACAGTGAGGATTCCGTGGCTGAAACAATGGTATCAAAAAGAAACTCGGATGGTAAGTTAATTTATTTTTTTAATTTTACCGAAAGCTTTCGACAGTTAAAGAACCGATAAATACGGAACGACAAACCCTATTATTTAAATTAAATAATTTAATATTCCTCTGAGGGTCCAAAGTAATTATATAAAAAAGGAAAAATTTAATTTATTCAGCACCTAACGCTTAATGCATGCACGTTTTTCTTGTATATAAACCAAAATATTTAGGTTAGTTTTAGGAACCAAGTAATTTTTTAACAACATAGCCCGCATCTGGTCGAATATTTCACTCGGAACATTTAATATAGTGTAAACCGGCTCATTTGATTAGCATGGTGCATCCCAGACATTAATAAATAATTAATGACTTCCTGAGCATACTTAGTCAGAATTTTTTATTCCAAGCTTTCAGTTTAATTCAACAAAATTAAAATAATATCCGAGAAAAATTTTTAATTGCCAAGGTGGGAGTCATTTGAAACACTACAAGATCCCAAGAAAATGTTGTGCAAATATAGTGGGTATACGAACGCATTTTACTCCTTTGTTTATCACCTGAGCTCATGTCGTGAGAAAGAAATCATTTCGTGAGTTAAATTGCTATAAAGTGTGCGTCATATGACATTCTAATCTTAATTATAACTGTGCGCACACATTCTACGCAGGCGCAATCAAGCTTTTGCTCATGTTTGTTGTTCGGGTACTTTATCAACATTAATCCACTGGTAAATAACTTATGTGGTTTCTGTAAGTTCTAAAACAAATTGTAGTCCGATGATTCAAGGTTCTGGCTATACAGTGGAATTTACCAATAAAGCTCTCTCAATTTTGAGAAGAACAGGATAAAGCATTCTACAACTGGGTCAAAACAGTTTGGTGATGAATGTGGTATAGGTCTGGACGACCTAAGCATTCATCACCACACTATTTTAATGAAGAACTTATTTGACAAAAGGAAGAAGTAGGATTTAAAAGTTTTGTATTTGTGGTGTCTGTTGTTGCAGATGAGGAGGAGGAACCACGCTACATCCAGCTCACCAATCAGCATAAATCTGCAATAAGAGCAATCAGAAAGGTGAGTTTCGCATCTTACTAAACTAATATTGTTTTTTTTATCAATTAATAACCTTTTTACTCTAGCGTGTCCGCCATATTGATTTCGTGTTTCATTTATATATAGATGAAGTATTTTGTAGCAAGGCGAAAGTTTAAAGAAGCTTTGAAGCCTTACGATGTTAAAGACGTCATTGAACAATATTCAGCGGGACATGTCGATTTACTGGGCAGAGTCAAAAATGTCCAAAATAGGTACACTAAGGCGTAATACAGCACAAAATTGATGGAATACCTACCACTTGGAATTCAACAAATGCACCTGGTGCACCAAAGGGTCTCTCAATAAAAACTTAGTTATTGTTGATAAACCCTTTAGAATAGTACACCTTTTGGACAAGAGTGTCCAAAAGTGGATTTTAATCATCATGATCATCATCATCATTATCATCACTTGAATGGCGGACACGCTTGTTGTGCCACTAAACAAATGTCCGCTATTCGATTAGCATTAACAAAAACGTATTCCATCAATTTTCTTAGAGAAATGCCATTCCTACTCTAATAATGCTTGTGTCTCGACGTGTATACACTTATCACTAACCAAATAATCTTAAGCATGCTTCTCACAATTTAAATGAAAACATATGAATAGTGCGACTCTACCACATCTTTACAATACTTTAGCAGCAATTTTACACGATTACTTGATATCTTTTTACCTCACTCTACACTTAGTTAAAGATATTACAATATAAATGAAACAGAATACATAATAAAACCACTATTAAAAAGAAGGTTTATGAAACTGGCATTTAAAAAATACAAAACAAACTTTTAAAGGTACTTCATTATTATATAAATATTGGAATATTTGACTAAGTGTATTATGTGTACCACCCGCTTTTTGTGTGTAGCTCAAGTATTTTGTGGCACGAAAGAAGTTTAGAGAAGCCTTGAAACCATATGATGTAAAAGATGTGATTGAACAATACTCTTCAGGGCATGCCGATCTTTTGAATAGAGTGAGAAATTTACAGTTTAGGTAAGAACCTGGACCAAGCTTCAATATACATATACATAAAAACCCTTGTTAAATAGCACCCATTTGGACACCAGAGCTGCCTTTTAAGAGATCGTCCATCTCTTCTGATATAATCTTCAACCCTGATCTTAAAGCTGTTCTAATGACTGTCCTCCTGAGATCTCTGGATAACAGCAGATTCAAAGTCAGAGTTAAAGACCAGCTCTTGATCGTCTCAGTAGACGTCTTTAACTCTCATTTTAAAGATGCTATTATGGTCTCCTTGTCGTCCAGAGATCTCAGGAGGACGGTCATTAGAACGGCTTAAAGATCATAGTTGAAGATGGACGATGTCTTAAGGCATAATCTTTTTTTGACGAGTACTTTACAGCTCCAATGGACAATGACAATGACAGTGACAATGACATACAAACCCATCATGTAGCATGATAGCGTTGAATTATTTAGCTATAACAAATAATGCATGCCCACTAAAAATGTACATATTGCGTAATATAATATATTTCCATACCAAATTACGCCATTGATTCTGTCCCTGGCAAAAAGAGTGAAAATTATGCTTTTGTTCTATTGTGTACTTTTTATCATGGTCAGAATAAGGTATAGATTGTATGCCATATACGTTGTTTATGTATCTTTATATTATATGGCCTAAAATCTATAGGGAGTTTTTTTTTAAATTGTAACTCTTTTTGACTAAACCCCTATTAATTACTTACTTACAGACTGGATCAAATTCTGGGTAAACAAGGTTCAAAAGCTAAGGATGTTTACGCCTCTAAAATCAGCTTAGCTTCGAGGGTGGTGAAAGTTGAAAGACAGGTAAAAATTGCTTTTTTTGTCTCAACATAATGTGTTCATTAAATTCCAGCATGCATACAAAACAGGCTGTTAGTAAAAAGGTTTAATTTAACGAAGTATTTTTATAATCAAGAATGAAGGTAGCGAACTTTCCATAATAAACTTCCAAACTCTTATTATGAAATTTGTTGACGCAACTTTGAACATTAATTAAGAACTCTTAATTTTAAGGTTGACGACATCGAGACGAAAATCGACCAACTCATCGAGCTTTACATCGACGACAGAAAGAGATTCATGCCCTATTACTTTGCCCATCACTCCACCCCGGACAGAAGCAATGTACCAGTTGGTAGCTCTGCACCACTCCCAACAAGCGCCCTAAAACCCAAACCCATTTTGGTGGACAAGCAGTCGTCTGAACCCAGTTCTCCAATAACCCGGTTCAGGGAACCCCCGCAAGTCTCCGTCACGAGAATACCCATGCACAGAGGCTACTCTGACCTTGGCAACAGAATAAAGAAGAGGGTCACCCTAAGGTCAGTTCAGTGTGCTTCATCTTAGTCTTAAACATAAACAGTAATCAATTAATCTAGCCTTCACAGCCCTAGGATAGCGTTGACTAGCTCACTAATTAGTTTATAAACGTTTAGTTCAAACTCATCACGAAATTTTTCACGGGACAGCGCACCGTACGATGGCGAAGTGGTTATTGTTGTGCCTCCTCCTCCGACGTCTTCAACATCGGCTGGCCAATCGTCGGCCTCTACAAGCACGGCCATCGAGCTGTCGGACTTTTCCGAAGGAAACTCCAGAACCGGCGGAGATGGATCAGGTAAGAAAAGCATTAGAAGGAAAACATGGTCATCAATACTATTTTTGACGACATTATCAACTTCAAATATTGACTACTTAATATTAACTATTTCTAGACAACCTAGATAGGTGTCAGGAAGAGGACGAAAACGATCAGGAAGAGGAAGACGATGAAGATATGGAAGAGAGTCAGATTGAGATAGAAGAGGAAGAAATCGACGTGCCCAATGATGGTGAAGAGGAGGATGAGGAAGATGACGCGAACGAAACGTCACTGTTATGTCCACCGAAAACCGAAATAATAATCACTCCAATGACTCTAAGCTGTCCCCCCAACAGGGAAGCATACAGTGAAACGTTCAACATGACGCACTTAAAACCAAACAGAAATGTTAAGGAAGACGTATGATACGTTATCATTGGACTTAAGGCAGAAAAGTATTTATTAAGTACCTAAGTTACGTATAAAGTACCTAATGTTGTGTATATGTGTTTCCATTTCAAAGCGCCCACGAAAAATATGCAAGATATTATTGTCAAAAAACGTCTATGGCTAAATTGATTAAAAAATCAATCAATTTTGTTACCTACTTGAAATATGTTAAACAAATATTAGAAATATTCCCCAACACCAAGACAAAACACAAAGTGCTTAAAGTACTTTTCGCCAACGTGTTGTGTTTTGGTGTTGGGAAATATTTCTAATATTTGTTTAATTAATTTTGTCATAAAGGTAGTTGGAGCCAGTGGCGGCTGGTGGATTTTATGTATACCAATATCTCAGTTATTAGACATGGGCCCAAACCAAATTTGTAATAGTTTATAATGACATTAAATAAACAAGTTTGGCGCAAACAGAATTTAAATTGAAGTTTGCGAAAAAAAGTTAGTTTTTCCTGTCGCCTCACCCGCCTCCAGGCCCTCCTATTTAAGATAATTCAAATTAAAGTGGTGCAATTATCTACTATAATTTATCGACAAATTTAAAATTTTATTTAAAAAATCCAAATATTACAGATTTTATTCGATTTTATATTTTTATTATTTATTTTATTAAAATAAAAAATATTTCAAGTTTTATAAAACCTGTAATATTTGGATTTTTTAAATACAATTTTAAATTTGTCGATAAATTATAGTAGATAATTGCACCACTTTAATTTGAATTATCTTAAATAGGAGGGCCTGGAGGCGGGTGAGGCGACAGGAAAAACTAACTTTTTTTTCGCAAACTTCAATTTAAATTCTGTTTGCGCCAAACTTGTCTATTTAATGTCATTATAAACTATTATAAATTTGGTGTGGGTCCCATGTCTAATAACTGAAATATTGGTATACCCGAAATCCACCAGCCGCCACTGGTTGGAGCGATTTGTATCTTAGGGATAATATTTTTTACGTGAAGGTTTTGAAATGAACATCCAAAACTATAGGTAAGTATTATGTCGTGAGTCCTTTACGAAATAACCAAGAAAAAATCAAATGTAGGTACCTATAGTAAAGGGTTAAAATTGATGTAAATATATGTCATTACTGTATATATTCGTACGATTGAAAGTATTATCGAAAAGCTCTTAATCTATACCATTTTTATACAACTTACTCTATGAACCAAAAAAATTATTTAAATAGACCCATTTTAAAATTTTAATAAATACGAAAACATAGATATTTTTAACTTGTACTGAGTATTAGGGCACAAATATGACGCTTATATTAAGAATATAAATACCTACATTTATAACAAATATTTAGTGGTTAAATTTTGAATTTAGATTCCTTAGATTGCTATATACTTAAATTCTAACTTACTTTTTCTTTACAATCAAGAATATATCACTAAAAATAAACCAATTTCTAGTCAAATTTTAGGTATTTTTGTAAAAATTCTTGACAATTTTTTATCATTTACTGTTAAATTTAAGTTATTAATTAAAAAAAGCTGTGATGAATGTTTAAGTTATGTTATGTTATTTATTTTTAATTATTAATTTATTTTTTTAAACTCTGTTGAGTGATTAAAATCTGTTTATCACCCAAAGTGCTCTATAAATAATTTTTAATAGAGAGCTATTTATATAATAAAAATAAATTTTTTCGAAAATATGCACAGGCCTATATTAGTTTTGGATAATAGGTAATTTAAAAGAAACAATAAATTATTAAATAAATAGTATATTTGATAAATATTTAAAAAATACATATATGAAATTACAATTTCTATTAAATGCGTAAATAATACATAAAAATAGTGAAATTTATTTAAAAAAAAAAATTTAACCAAGCTATTAGTTTTGTCTAGTAAATTTTTTATAAAACATTATGTTGTACAGTTTAATGCTATGTTAAGAAATTCTTCAAACCCAATAGTAATCATTCCTCTTTGTTCTGTATCTTTTGTACGGAATGCTTCAGTAAATCTCTGAATTTGCACACAAACCACGATAAATTGGTCAACTGACATTACCCTATGATTCTGCAAATCACTTTTCTGTATTAAAAATTTTATAAAATCAGGGGAAAAACGGAAACCCATTTGTTGCAAAGCTACAAAAATAATCTCATTAAGTTTTGTATATAAGTAGAGGATGGGAAAAAAACACACATACTTTTTACAATTTTAATGCATATAAATATATTATAAAAACAAACATTAAAATAATAAGAAGTTATGTTAATTTCTCTGAGGTTAAAAATGTCAATTTTGTTGTTGAATCAGTATTTTTTGTTAAACCTAGATTTTAAGTATTATGACTCAATTAAAACATTGTGATCTAAAATACCTTTATTGTTTAACATTTATTTACCAATTTTAAACATAAAAATAAATGTTAACATAATTTTTACAACGATTAGGGAACGAGTTGAGAATTTTAAAGATTGTTACATGTATAACTTTAATCATAAGCACAAAACTCATATTTACAGAGATTTTTTAAATTCTCTGTATATCATTTTGCTATTCACAGATTTGTTTACTTTATTTTTTAATTGCAAACATTTTTAACATTGTAGTGAATGTTTTTTACTGTTATCATTAAATAAAGCATTACATTTACCTTGTGCAAGTTCATTTTCTTCTATACCACCTGACTGATCTCGATCATATGTTTTAAAAACGCCCAACCATTGATTAATATAATAATACAGCTGAGAAAACTCATTTATTCCAATGCTGCCAGTTTTGTTCGGATCAAACATTCCAATCATTAATTTACACGCTGTATCAGAAAAATGTTCGCCTTGTCCATTTACAAGGGCTGATTTTAGTTCCTGATAGTTTATCTGACCTGAGCGGTCCTTATCCACCATGGTAAACCAATTTTGTATCTCAGGACTAATACCCCCTTGGGGGGCTTGGCCATATCCTTGCTGCTAAAATATTAACAATTTTTACAAAATATTAACATAATTATTACAAAATATGCATTCAAAATTGAACATATATCTTACCCCATACATAATTCTTAAAATTATTACGACTATGAGTGCAAATTATTTAATTTACAAGCAATTACAGTTAAATAAAGCAATTACTTTATATTTTGACATTTACAAGTGAGGTTAATTCATCATAAATCTACTACCAACATGAAAACCACAGAACATAAAAACCTAGGAGATTTTCGTTTTATCACCGTCAGTTGGTAAACCTCGCCGTCAAGCTGACAGGCGAAGGAAATTTGACGTTTATATTTTTGTTTATAGCCTGCAATTTAATACAAAAGTAAATATTTGCAATGGATTTTGATAGTCCCGATGTAATGAAAGATTTTCCCGGCCTGTATGCGTCGGAGTTGAATAAAAAGTGTAACAATGATAGTGACTGTAAGTAAATAAGAGATTTATTTATGTATTTGATGTATACGTACTGAGTGTTTTGTAGACAGTGATGAGACTGATAAAGGCAACAAAAAAGATATGCTGATTGGTAAAAGGAAGGATAAAAAGGACAAAAAGGATAAAGAAAAAGGATATGCGGCTTTGGAGGGAGAAAGCTCAGCAGATGAAGAATGCAAGTCCAGGTAAATCATTTGAAAGTTTTTAGAGAAAATTGTATCTTATAAAACTTTTCTAGAAGCCCATCAAAAACCAAGAAGTCAAAATCGTTTAAATTTACCACTAAGTCTAAGGATAAAAGGGAAAAATCCAGGGAGAAGGAAAAGGACACTGGTGATAAAAAGAAAGAGAGGGATAAGAAGAATGATAAAAAAACTGAAAAAGAGAAAAATAAAAAAGTGAAAAATTATGAAGATGCATTGGATATAGCAGGTTTAAACAACACTGAAATAGGTTATGGGTGATTCTACCATAATTAAATTATTATTTTTAGAAGCCCTTCCAATATTTGGGGTGAATCTGGAAACAGCAGTGGAGAGAAGTAGATGTCATGATGGAATAGACATACCATTACCGATTAGAGAATGTATAGATTACATTGAAAGTGCTGGGACGTCTTTTGAAGGAATATACAAAATTAGTGGTACAAAATCAAAAGTTTTACTTATTAGAAAAATGTATAATAATAGGCAAAATATTAATCTCAATGACTATGATGTACCTACTGCAACAAGCTTACTTAAAATGTTTTTAAGGTGAACATTTTTTTTCAAGTTAGCATTTTTATTTTGTTTGTTTTTTGAAGGGATCTTCCAGAACCAATCTTCACAAGTGATTCTTTAGTGAGATTTGAGGAAGCAGGGGCAATCCTTAATTTAAATACTAGAGAAAAACACTTAAAAATACTTGTTGATAATCTACCTCCTCTCAATAAATTACTTTTGTCCTGGTTAATCATACACTTGGATAATATCTCTCTAAATGTAAGAGGCATAAAATGTTTTAATTTAATGTCAAATAAAATAAAATAATTTTAGCAAACACATAACAAAATGACTAAACAAAATATATCAGCCGCTTTAAATCACACGTTTCATAGTTCTTCAAGATTACTGCATGCTCTATTGCACCATTGTAGAGCATTATTTCCTGACTTAACCATAACAAAATATATCCCACCTCTAAGTTCAGGGCAAACTCTCCCTGATGACCTTGAAACCATGGAAATAGAGTTAAAAAAACAGGAATCTCTACTAACTCAAATTCACACTGAAATGAACGTTGGGTGCATTTCTAAGGAACGCGAAGAGTTATTATGGGAAGTACAGAGGATTATAACCCAGTTAAAGGTAAGTGATGCGCCGATGTACATGATACTGCGCAGCAGTTTAATGAAATGATTTTTTAGCGAAAAATTAAGACTGCCCACAAAGAAAAAGAACCAATTGTACCTCAGGAGAAAGAAGAGCCAGAACCAGTCGAAGTTTCAGTTGAGGAACCCATTAAAGAACCAGAGCCAATTGTAGAACCCGAAAACAGACCGACAGAACCAGAACCAACACTAGAAAATACAATTGAACACTTAGAAGAAATACCTCAAGATGATGATAATGATAAACCAATGATATTAACCGATTCCAGTCTTTTATTATTAAAATTTAAAAACAACGGTCTTCTAGCTTTGAAAGAAAGACTTGAAAGAAATATTTTGGAGGAACAAAAGGAGATCTTGTCACTTAAAAATCAATTGTTGCCGGAAAAACCGTCAGTTGTACCGAGCAATGAAGGACTGGATGAATTAATGTCACTTTTACAAAAAGAAAACCAAATTTTACAAATTAACAAGATTAATTTAGTCAGGAAAATTATTGAACAACAAGAAATTTGCATAGAGTTGAAAGCCAAGCTGGAATTATCCAACCAAGTTTAAATTAATTTAATTCAATTTATTTATCTATAATATATACATATTGTAATATAATATAATAATGTAATATAGTTTGATTAGGTTTATATTTCAAAATTGCTGAAAAATCCCTATAAATGCCTATTATTTTTTTTTAAATAAAAATGTACCAAAATCTATCTTTTTTTATTTATCCATTATAATATATTAACATTTTTATTTTCAGTAATTTTTTATTGACTTTAAACTAAGAAAATAATTAGGTGAAGTGGGGTAAGTGTAATCAAAAAAATGATACCTCAACTTTAAACTAAAATAACTAGGGAACCAATAGAGGTACAGGGCCCATTTTTTGCGAGATTATTGCTTATTTAGTTGTTTAAGAAATGCAAGTAAAACCATTTTTCTAACCGCCTTATTCTTTTATATATAAATAATAATGCTGGACCGAGTGTGCTGATTACACTTGCCCCAGCATTTAGGGCAAGTGTAATCACGACTCGTATTTGCTAACTAGAAATCGTGCTTATGGGTCTGGGGCAAGTGTAATATAGAATACAAAATTCTGATTTTAACGAAATAAAGAACAAATTTATATCTTGTATGATAAGCAAGTTACAAGCTTTTTTGTGGTACATAGTAAGGGAATAAAACTTTGGTGTTTTCTTCATTAAAAATCTGAAGCAAACAAGAATACATTACAAAATTATAAATTAAAGCCAAATATTAAAGACTGGGGCAAATATAATCACCGATTACATTTACGCCTGACTCTGTGATTACACTTACCCCATTTTCTGGGGTAAATGTAATCACTACTGTAAATTTTGTTGTCATCATTCAAATCAAAATCTGGTAGCAGGACTGGATTCCTCTTGTAAAATAACCCAGGATAGCAAAATATTTTAACCCTTTTTTAATATTCATAGCAGGAATCTAAAATAAAAAAATTTAGGTGACACTCATAAGACAAGTCTAAATAAAAGTTAACTTAAAAACAATTTTGATTTTGCAGCCAGATCCCCAAAAAAGGTAAAAATTCCACAAATGATTAAAAGAAGGGTTATATTTTTGAGTTTTAAATAAAAAAATGCCAAAAATTTCATGAGAAAAAATACAGGGTGCCTGATTACACTTGCCCCAAGATTACATTTACCCCACTTCACCCTATTGTATTTGTATTAGTGTTGTCATAACAAAACTGGAAACAATAGTAAATTTTTGCAGACGCTATAGGTACTATAAAAAATGTCATATGATAGTTTTTTTTTAATTATTAATTTTTGACTTTTTTCCATAAAGGTATAGGTACTTACTTTTTTTGCGGTGTAGTCAAATTTCAAGACTTGGGAATTTTTTAAAATACCTTATTCAGAAAGCCATCTTGCACTATCAAACGTTGTTGCCAAATTTCCAAAAAACTACAATAATCTGGAAATTTTTTAAGTTCTTTAGTACACCTTTAGTAAATTCTCTTGCACTTTAAATTTGCCAAATTTATATAATAAATTTGGCAAATTTACTAGTATTTATATTCTGGCATAGTATACAGGGTGGAAACCTTAACTGGAATAAATTCTGTATTTTGAAAACCACTTACTTTTTTAAAAAATCCAAAAACAGGTCAATTTATAAATTTACCTGGGTAAATTGTGGTAAATCTTAAAAATATAAGAAACCACCCTTTGAGGGTGCAACCAAACCTAACTTTTTTTTTCAAATGCAAAGGTATATCAAGTGATACATCATTTGAAAGCTTGTTTTAATAGGAATTCATACAAATATGCAATTTTTAATTTTTTTATTTTTGTACAATTATAAATAATAAAAACTTAATTTTATGATAAATATGGATTTATTATAAAAGATGTTCAAAATGAGCTCCTGGTTTCTTGACAAAATCCTAGACGATTATAAAATTCATTTTTAACCTTTTCCAACATCTCAGGTAATATTAAAGAAGTTTCGTGTCGGATACTCTCTTTAAGATCTTCAATATTAGTTGGTTTGGTTACATATACTTTTTTTTTAAGGTAACCCCACAGGAAAAAATCCAACGGAGTAAGGTCCGGAGATCGGGCTGGCCACTGCACCTCTTCTACCAATCCACCGATTAGGAAATATTTCATTTAGGTATCGATGAACGGGTAATGCGTAGTGAGCTCCATCTTGCTGAAACCAGACTCTTTATCTGGTAAGTCTGGATCATTCTCGTTTGGAAACTGAACTGCCAAATATGGTATAAGATCTTCTTGAAGAAAAGTTAAGTACCTTTCGCCATTTAGAGTTTCGTTTAAAAAGGAGGGACCAATTATTCTATTACCAATTATTCCAGCCCAAACATTTACCTTTTGTGGATACTGTGTATGATTTTCTTCAATCCAATGAGGATTGTTGTCGTTCCAATATCTACAATTTTGACGATTAACTTAACCATTTAAAGTAAACGTACTTTCATCGGAAAATAGTAAGCAATCCAAGGAAATTTGGTTATCATTAATAAGGTTCATCATTTGCTCGCAAAATTCAATTCTGCGATCTGTATCATCCCCAATTAGTTCCTGTACTGCTTGCATCTTATACGGATGCATTTGTGAAGCATGTAGTAACTTCATTACAGTGGTGTGGCTCAAATCGTTCTCGCGAGCAATTTGTCGAGCTGAAGTAACAGGATTTTCTTGGATTGCTAATAGTACATTAAGCTTCGTATTGTCTTCAACGATAGGCTGGCGTTGTCTAGGAATATTTCTTACATGACCATTTTCGTGATATTTTGCTTCTACTTTACTAACAGTCCCTTGGCAAATGCAGTGGTGGCTCGTGGGTGTACAGGAGGGTGAGGCTACATAAGGTTAATTTTATCTAAATACGAATAAATTTCCACGTCACCCGGGAGGTATTATTCTGCGACGCGATGACCTTTTTTAAAATGGAGACGATAGCACTACTAAACCAAAAAATAAACTCTAAAAAACAAAACAAACAAAATATCACATCAAAGACTAGTTTTAATCTTAAACTTAAAAATATAGTCTTAAAAAAGTTAAAAATAAATAAATTAATCAAAAAATAAAAATAAAACTAAAAAGTCGACCCCTACCTAAGTATTAAAAAATATAAAATACTATACGTCTATCTTTTAAGATTGAAAATTTATCTATTATTTGGTCGTAAAATTGTGGGTCTGCAGTGAGATTTAAAAGTAATTCTAAATTTTCAAACCGCGTCTCTAATTGAAGAATTATGCAATCTATTATTTCAAAATATAAAATTTGCTTAATAAAAACTGCTAAATCTACCTTAGTGTGTTCCCTACAATAATTAAATAAGAAATTTTACTAATCGAGACAAAAACTATAAAAGATCAGCCAAAAGTTTTAAATAATTTAATCTGAATCAAAACAATAACGTGCTCTACAAACGCTAAGAGAAGACTGGCAACCTTCTTTGTCTCCGCTGGCATCCCACCATAAACGGACCACCAATCAGAACAAGCCAAGCCAACTAAATTTCGCCTCATCTACGGTGTTTATTCGCGAACTTACGGCGATATTTTTGTTGGTGAGTCATTTTCGCTTTCAAGAGGTAAATGGGAGCTTCCGAGGCTGTGAAAATTTCGCCTCTGTCTGGCGTCTCAACGATGCACGTTAACTTGACGCGCTTTGCGCCTGGATTTTTATTTACGCTTAGTATGATTGATTGGTTTTTTACTTTTTATTGGGTAGAACTGTTGTAAAAATACACTTGTAATAGCAAAAATATAAATACAAAAAGTCGTTCGTTCCTTCATTTTAAGGGTGAGGCGCGGCCTCAGAGGCCTACCCTGACGAGCCGCCACTGGGCAAATGTGAGGCAATTCTGGATGCGTTTCGTTAAATAATCGTGCAACTTCTGTCTGATTTCGACGTCTATTACCAAATTCAATCATCATTAGAATCTCAATACGCAAAGTTTCAGTTAAATAAGACATTTTTACAGTCAATTTAGAACACGTTACTTGCAACCAGGGCCGGATTTACGAATTTGCCGCCCATGGGCCAAACGCATTATTACCCCGAATATCGAATGACTCAGCGAATAAGCTAGAGTCGCGCCACACTCGCCTCGTGTACATCGAATGCCGCCCTTCTACGCAGTGACGCACTACGCAGAATAATAGTGTAGTCTGATATAAAATTATCTAATGTATTAAAAAATTTCACTTCCAACTTTTTATAGTTTTAATTAGTGTATAAATCTGAGTGAAAACAAAAATTCTGCATAAAACGCTCTTGATTTTTTAGCAAAATTTTAACTGGCCTTCAAAATTTGCCGCCCCTAAAAATTTGCCGCCCTGGGCCCGGGCCCATGTGGCCCATGCCTAAATCCGGCCCTGCTTGCAACTAATTTTAAAGAACTAAAATACATTCTTTCGGTTGAATATACAACGTTTTTGGTGGCCCTTGCGGCCTTGAGTTTACGGTGAATTCACCGTGAATTCACCGTTTGCGTGAATTCACCGTGAATACACCGTTTATGTGCAGTGAATATACCGTCCATTTGTGACATTTGTAGACGGTAATTAAACGGTGAACTCACGCTGTTTTTGCGATAAATTCACGGTGATTTCACGGTTAATTCACGGTGATTTCACGGTAAATTCACGGTGAACTCAATACATCTCACGGCTGCTTACGCAAGCGAGCTAACTATAAATAGCGTTGGGTTGCAATATTTAGTTGGAAGTTTGCGTCTGTAATGGCATAGCTGAACATTAATCCTCATCTGCTCAGTAACGAATAATGGCTAGCTATAGTCGTGTTAAACCTATAGGATATACCTACCCTTGCGGCCTTTTAGTTCACGGTTTATTCACCGTGAATTCACTGTGAATTCACCGTGAATATACCGCCAAAATACGGTGGATTCACAATTAAAATACTGTGAAAAGTGCGTGAATTCACCGTCTAACTACCGTTTACAAATGTCACAAACAGACGGTTTATTCACGGTGAGTTTACGGTGAATAAACCGTGAACTCAAGGCCGCAAGGGGGATATAAAAAAAGTATTTATTTCTTTAAAGTACCAAAATAAAATAATTAAAAATTGCAT